TCGAACTACTTTATTTGACGACATGTTAAAGCGCATTTGCAATATCGCAATATATATGTGCCGTACGCACCGTTGAACCCCATTCCCGGCACCTTGCTGATTACGTCAGCCAAGCCTGAAATGCCTGGATGTTCGAAAGGGTTCAGTCACCCTGTCACGTCCCGCCCGCTGGTACAGCGGCCCACACCTGACCCTGGGTGGTGAACCGCGCCGCTTGCCGTTTATAGGGGAGCTGATGTGAATGTTGGGCAGATGGTCTTGAATTCCAGCCTAAATTACCTGGGAAGTCATGTTCGCAGTGCTCGAAATTTCCGAGTAATCCGGGCCTCTTGCTCCTTAGTGAGTCATGTTTAGTTTGGCATCCTTCAGCAGCCGAGCACCAAAGCCACCAGCTGATTAATCTCTATCATCGCGTTCGTTGCTCATGTTGTTTTGTTGTTTTAACAGCTCACTGACATCTTCACGCTCCGCACTTTCCGTACTACCATTGCTCAAGAGCGGCACTTGCCGAAAATTATCAAGTGACACGATGTTTTCTATACAATAACGGGCTTGTCACTTCAACATTTACTTTATTGAGTGCATAGAGCATGGGTATTTGAACATCGCTGTAATATCGTTTCTATATTGCTCCCCCCTCCCCCAATAAAAACAGCAACGTTTCAACCCGGTAGCGCTATACATGCTGCATGCGGACAACATGCGCCTGTCCCCCGTCCCCTATCCCCTGCGCCTGAACACACTACAGCTGGCTGCAGCTCACAGGAATCATCGCAGCGGTTCACCGGCCTGAGCTTGATCGATGCCTGCCCGTCGTACTTATCGTGCTTTAGATGAAAATCATGCCTCGAGCTTTTCATTTCGCTTGAACTTTGATCATAACATGGACCTGGCAAGCATGCTGCTCCCATCATCCGCATCCAATCCGTTAGAAGCGGCCGCTTCCGCATGCTCCACTCATGTCTTGGAATCACTCTCATCTTCGGAGACGCCAGCTGCGCGCAGGCTGACATCCTCACAGTTGATCCTTTAAGTCAGCAGCGGGCTTCCAGTCATGGTCAGGAAACATTTGTCTTTGATTACAACGCTTCCGAGTGTGAATACGCGCATTTGCACGTGCCGCAAGCGCTTTGTGCTTAAAATGTCACGAAGTTTTTTGGTGAATAACTTCAGCGTGTCTGAATCATCACGATGTACTCAGTGAATACATGGTAAAGATCTACAATTTATTTACGTTAGCCGTTTTCACAACGGATAACTTTGCTGGACAAATTTGTACCAATTTTTATGTTTTATGGCGTTTTAGTATTTACTTAACACTCTGACAAGGAAAACATTGCTACCATGCAATTTCTCAACATGGAATATGCAAATCACCTGCATCTTACTAAAAAAGTTAGTCATATTTAGTGTGACCCCTTGTAGGCATTTTTTTAGCCCATGTCTTTAGTTTGTTAAAATTCCAGGAAAATACTAGACCTGGCAATCAGCAATGAGGATGCGTCAAGGGCTTGGATGCTGGACGCGCCATTATTGTTTACATCGGTGCTATGTGCGGCAGGGCCGGCTTTGAGGGCCGTTTCATTCAAGGATCATTCGCCTCGGGCGCCGTTTGATCTGTCGTCAGCAGGATTGTCAGCTGGAATGTGTGACGTCATGTGTGCTGACGGAGCGTTCGATGTGCGGGCTGAGACAAAAGTGTTTGAATGGTTGTATGGAAATGTGACTTCTGCTCTAGTATTGCTCTCATCTATCCCACCCTTAAGTTACTTGCATTTTGCCATTCCCATCTCATTTTAATTTCTTCACTTCTCACTCCTGCTTCTTCCCACTCGCACTGACAAAGGCTATGTTCGAGATGCAAGGCACCGCGCTCCTGTTCTCCATCTTTTCCGATAGTCAAACGCTATTACTTTAGTGGGGAACGCAACCACGCACCACACAATCACTTCCACTCACCTTTTCATGGTTCTTTTGGCAGTCCGATCCCTTCACATTTATCATACGTCTCATTACCAAAAACTAGAGACAAGTGCCCCCACCCCACCTAACGTACTCGCAAGCGCAAGAGCTACCGAATAAAACTCCCGTTTCTCTTTCCGGAGTGATTTTTTATCTGGTGGAGCCTTCTCTCTATGCTAACTGGCTGACAAAAAATGCTGGCATCACCGTCAGCCGGCGCGTAACGTCACAAACCACGTAAATTTGGTCACTTGACGCGATGCGGGGAGAATATTGGGCCGTGATTGGTGCTGCCAAACGTGCTGACGACAGGTCGAAAGCGACCTTGAGTCATGTTAAGGCATGTGAACCTTGTAAGCTCTGGAAGCACTACAAGCAAGCTCTGTAAGAGCCGTAAGTGAGTTCTGTAAGAGCTGTAAGTAACCTCCGTAGCTACTATATACATATGAACAAGGACGCTGCAGGGACATAGGGACATAGGTGTTTGTTTTGTCGCGTCTGCGTCAGAGATGCCCCAGAATGTTTTTAAAAAGCTCTGACAAGTTGGGAGAGACTAAGCGGCCGACCAAACCTGCTGACAACCCCCATGCCACGAGCCTATGACACTGGCTGACACCAAACCTTTACCTTTTGATGACGCTCATTCGATAAGCTATTCGCTTCATATTGTAATGAGCTTGGGCCAGCTCAAAGGTCACCAAGAATACAAAAGCCGAAAATTATGGTTGCCGACAGCCCCAAGCTCTGAGCTTGTGGCACCGACCAGCATCATGCCTTCACTGATCGATGTATCACACCCAATAACCTATTACTTCCAGAACACGGTGACCTCAGGTCAGGTCAAAGATTACCAAAAGCGCCCCAAACCACAAAAAACTGGTTGCGGACAACCCTAGGCTCAACAGTGCGAGTTGTCCCTGCACTCCCTCATTGGCAAGGGTCATAGCGTTGAATTCCAGTCTGTTGAAACATTTTGAAATGATATCTGTTTGAGATCATATTTGCTCCTGCTTGGCCATGGCACTGTAATTTGCACCCTGTGGAAACGACCATCGGCCTGACAAAATTATTTATCTGCGTAAGCCACGGTGGACTGGACATCCAATTATCGCTTGAGACAGTTACGGGCGAAAAAAAATGACCGCTGCAGTTGAAGCGCCCCTGAGCTGAAAATCATCAATTAATAATTCCAGATGGCTTCAGCCGTTTTTAGAGACCTTGGACTTGACCAAAGGTCATTATGTTTTGGAAAGGGTATGATATCGTCTGTGACACATCGATTGATGAAGGCTTTGTGCTGATCGGTGCAATGGGCTCGGAGCATGGGGTTGTCTGCAACTCCATTTTTCCGGTTTTTGACATTTTTGGTGGCCTTTGACCTGACCCAAGATCACTATATTCTGGAGAGGATAGGTTAACGACCACGCAGCATCGAAGGATAAATCAAAGGATGAATGTTTGATGTCGAACGTTGCCATAGGCTCGAAGCATGAAGTTGTCAACAGGTTTGGTCGGCCGTTTAGCCCCTCACTAAAAAGCTTCGAAGGAGGAGATCTGGCGTTACAACTGTCCATAATCGTAGACACCCCAATTTAACAAATAGTACGGATTTACAAACATGTTTTAGATACCCGCGGATCATTTCTACCGGGAAATCCTTTATAAAAGTGCAGTTTGAGAAAATACACGCTGCAAAAGGTTTACAGAGCTATAAAAAAGACTGTTGAGTGCCCAGTTGTGAGAAAATAAACGTCTACGTCA